CTCAAGTGGGGCGTTACACTCGACCAAACAGACTCTTAGCCTCTTTCGTTGTCAACAATTGCTGCTAGCGTTAAGGAGTGCCGACGACCAGAAAGTCAACAAACAAATCACAAATACTACAAATAAACATCTCTCAATCATCTTTCAATTCAACAAAGACAAAAACTGAACGAATCAAACATAACTAATCTATAAAAAATCGAAAAACCCTAGGGTAGAGAAGTTTCAATCGCCAGCTATGGGTGAGCAAATGAGATCAGGATTGTTAGGGTTTTTTGGAGAGGAAGATCCAAGGAGCCTATTGGTGGTGGCAACGATTTTCAACATCGGAAACGACCGAAAATTGGCTTGGAAGTTGAAAAGTCGTGCGGTGCACGACCGACAATCAACGAGCAAGGGACGATGATGGAGGTAAGGATTTTGTAGTGTGGGTTGTGGGGAGTGTGATGGTGGTGTCTAGGGGATTTTTGGCAAAAAAATCAACCATAAATCTGGCTTGAAGAGTCAGCCGTGCGAATAGGGGTGGTGGTGGGAAATGGTGAGTGATGACAGCAAATGGAGGCTCAGGTTTTGTAGAGGAGGTGATGCGATTTTGTGGGTGGTCTCGGAAATGATTTTGAACACCAAGATCGGTCGAAAAACGGCAAAAACCGTCAGCAGTGACGCCACTAATATGCGCCATCTCTTTTCTTTTCTTTTTCTCTGACGACCAAATGTTTGTTAACCATTCTGCCCTCATTAATAATGGACTTTAGAACATTTTTCCTTTTCTCACACCTAAAATTACTAGAAAAATTGTGCTTTGGGTAGTGGAAGGGTATCATTTTTTGGGTGGGAACATGTCGTTAACTCATCTATACATTCTTTCACTTTTTTGTTTTATAAGTAAAACATGTTTTTTTTTTTTTTTTTTTTATGGGAGGTGTCCAGGCCAGTTTGTGTGCTCCTCAACTAATCCACCGAGACCCTAAAGTTGATGACCAAGTAAATTTCCTCAATAGACATCCCTATTACGGTTTGTAGGGACTCGAAACTCAAGAAATCATGTTTGACATCTTTGCTCGTTTACTTTGAGGCTAACTAGAGAAGGTTGATGACAAAACATAATTAAATCATTATGGAAAATATATATATATATAAAAAAAAGAAAAAGGTTATATGGACACATATATATATAGAAGTTAAAGTGTATTATTAAATTGGTCTTACACATAATATCGTGAATAACACTAATTTTTTCTAGCTTTAGTGAAACATGATAAGTATAATATTTTATTTTTTAGAGAAATATGTATAAATTCAGTCAGATCCTTTTGAGGATTTAACAATACGAATTTTGTGTTAGTCTTTTCCCCAACGCAAGCGCTCCCAAAACTTTTGTAAATTAAAAATTAGAAACTATAATAACTGCAAAAATATCTTCTTCAACTAAACCTCTCGCTTCACGCTTCGAAATTATTGAACCCGAAAACCTATTTTTCCCATAAATCCGTAGCAGTCAAATCATGCTTCAGAGTTGCGGTTCCAGAGAATTGGGTCATGAAAGTCTCCAGCACCATTTCTGTTCACCAAGTAAGCTCCATTCTCCTCACTCTCCTTACACAGCTGGGGTTTTTCTAGGGTTTAGGAATCTCCGTAAGCAAAAGAATGCTAAAACAAAACACATACCGCAGCTCTTTACGGTAAATATAGACCAAAGCTTTGAAAGAAGTATCAAACATTCACACGCCCAGAAGCAGAACCCAAGAGCATCGAGGGTTTCTGTCGGGTTTAAGCTTCAATCTAACTCAAAATCTTCACTCCCGCCCACTAAAAATTCTTCAGTTAATGGTAGGAGAAAGAAGTATGGTGGCGTTTTGCCTACGATTTTACGGGCTTTAGAGTCTAATGATGATCTAGAAAATACCCTTAATACATTTTGTGAAAATTTGAGTCCGAAGGAACAGACTGTGGTTCTTAAAGAACAGCGCAGTTGGGAGAGAGTTATTCGTGTTTTTGAGTTTTTCAAGTTGCAAAAAGAGTATGCACATAATGTAATTCACTATAACGTTGTGCTTAGAGCTCTGGGTAGAGCTCAAAAATGGGATGAATTAAGGCTCTGTTGGATTGAAATGGCACAAAATGGTGTTTTGCCCATCAATAATACTTATGGAATGCTCGTTGATGTATATGCTAAATCCGGTCTTGCTAAAGAATCGCTGTTGTGGATAAAGCATATGAGACTGAGAGGGATTTTTCCTGATGAGATTACAATGAACACTGTTGTTAAGGCTTTGAAGGATGTTGGAGAGTTTGATAGGGCAGATAGGTTTTATAAGGATTGGTGTGTTGGGCGGGTTGAGTTGGATGATTTTGAATTGGACTCAATGGTTGATTTTGAAAATGGGTCTGCCTCTGCACCAGTTAGTTTGAAGCATTTTCTGTCGACTGAACTTTTCAGGACAGGTGGACGAAATCCCATTCCAAGGAGCATGGGTTCATTGGACATAGAGAATTCTATTAGGAAGCCAAAACTAACGTCTACATATAATACGTTGATTGATTTGTATGGGAAGGCAGGACGTCTCAATGATGCAGCTAATATATTTGCTGAAATGTTAAAATCTGGGGTTGCAGTGGATACAATAACTTTTAATACCATGATCTATACCTGTGGAAGTCATGGGCATTTATCAGAGGCAGAATCTCTGCTTAGTAAGATGGAGGAAAGGCAGATTTCACCTGATACAAAGACATATAATATCTTTTTATCTTTGTATGCTGATGCGGGGAATATTGATGCTGCCCTAAAATGTTATTGGAAGATCAGGGAGTTGGGCCTTTTCCCTGATGTTGTAACTCACAGAGCTGTTCTTCATGTTTTATGTCAGAGGAACATGCTGCAAGATGTGGAAGCCATAATTGAAGAGATGGAGAAATCTGGACTGCCTATTGATGAACATTCTCTTCCTGGAATTATAAAGGTGTATGTTGATGAAGGATTGCTTGATCAGGGGAAGGCACTTTTCAAGAAGTGCCAGTTGGGTGGTGGGCTATCATCAAAGACTCTTGCAGCGATTGTAGATATATATGCTGAAAAAGGGCTTTGGGCTGATGCTGAGGCAGTGTTCTATTGTAAGAGACATATAGCTGGTCAGAAGAAGGATGTTGTTGAGTATAATGTTATGATTAAAGCTTATGGCAAGGCAAAGCTTTATGATAAAGCTTTTTCTCTTTTCAAGAGCATGAGAAATCATGGAACTTGGCCTGATGAATGCACCTATAATTCTCTTGTTCAGATGTGTGCTGCAGGTGATCTAGTAGATCAAGCAGTGGAACTTTTAGATGAAATGCGAGGGGCATCATTCAAACCTCAATGTTTGACCTTTTCTTCTATCATTGCATCTTATGTTCGTCTCGGGCAGATATCTAATGCAGTTAACGTCTTTGAAGAAATGGCAAGAGCTGGAGTAAAACCTAATGAAGTTGTTTATGGTTCCTTAATCAATGGGTTTGCTGAGTCTGGAAATGTTGAAGAAGCTCTGAAATATTTCCGCATGATGGGAGAAAGTGGACTGTTGGCGAATCAGATAGTGTTGACAGCCCTGATCAAGGCTTACAGCAAGATTGGATGCTTGGAAGAAGCAAAAAAAGTCTATGAGAAGATGAAGGATATGGAAGGTGGTCCAGATATTGTGGCATCAAATAGTATGATCACTCTTTATGCAGATCTGGGTATGGTTAGTGAAGCCAAATTTATTTTTAATAATTTAAGAGAAAAGGGTCAGGCGGATGGAGTCTCATTTGCAGCCATGATGTATCTGTATAAGAGCATGGGGATGCTTGATGAAGCCATTGAAGTTGCAGAGGAGATGAAACTGTCAGATTCATTAACGGATGTTATTTCTTACAATAAGGTGATGGCATGCTTTGCTACTAATGGTCAGTTACGTGGGTGTGGAGAATTATTGCATGAGATGGTAGCTAAAAAGCTTTTGCCTGACAATGGGACCTTCAAAGTATTGTTTACTGTACTGAAGAAGGGAGGATTTCCAATCGAAGCTGTAAGTCAGCTAGAGTCTTCTTGCCAGGAAGGGAAACCCTATGCTACAGAAGCTGTCATCACCTCCGTATTTTCAGTAGTGGGTTTGCATTCTTTAGCACTTGAAACCTGTGAAAGTTTCATTAAAGCTGAAGTGGTTCTTGATTCTTTCGTCTACAATGTTGCAATATATGCTTATAAGTCCTCGGGACAAAATGACAGGGCTTTGAACATGTACATGAAAATGCTGGATGAGGGCCTTGAACCAGACCTTGTTACCTGTATTAATTTAGTAGGTTGTTATGGAACAGCTGGCTTGGTTGAAGGTGTGAAGAGGATTCATAGCCAGTTAAAATATGGAGAGATGGAACCCAACGAATCCTTGTTCAAGGCTGTGATTGATGCCTATAAACATGCAAACAGGCAAGACCTTGCTGCACTAGCTAGCAAAGAAATGCGAACTGCGTTAGAGCCTGAGCAACATTCTGATTCTGAATTTCAAGAGGAATCTGATGAAAGTTTTCTAATGCTATAGAATTCACTACTTGTTCTATTTGAGGTGACTAGCTGATTAGCGGAAGAACTGTATAGCTGCAGCATTCTTCAAGCATCCAGAACTCTGTATATGATACTGCTATAATAGACGACAGATGGAAGATTGTAAAATTTTATTTTAGCTACATCAATGTGTTAAATTGTACACTGTATCATAGTTGAATACTGAGTTTTGCTTCTTCTGTTGAGGTGCTTGTAGTTGTGTAGTATGATTGCTTCATCTCTCTCTCTCTCTCTCTCTCTCTCTCTCTCTTTTATCTGAGTGCCCAGGTTAACTTGCGCGTACCTCAATTAGTCCTCCGAGATCCTGAAGTTAACTGTCAGGTAAACCTCCAGTGATAATTCCTTATTAGTAGTCGCAGGGATTCGAACTCGAGACCTCTTGAGTAATACAGTCAAGAGTCTCAAATGAACCGCTAAGCTACCCAGAAATAGTTCGACCGCCTCATGTCATGTGCAGTTAGATTCTTTGAATAACCAATATCTCCCCTGTGCAGTCAGTTCGGCATTCTCCGCTGCACGCCAATCTCAGCTTTATCAGCTGCATGATGTTCTTTTTTCTTTTTCTTTTTTTTTTTTTTTTTTTTTAATACTGCTCAGTCGGTCATTCTTTCGCATTCACAATCACGCTTAGCAAATTAATATTCTAACAATTATCCCTATTCACAATCAGACATCTTAGAACCTGAATAATTGCTTTCTCCATGGGTACGTGCCACCCATATCATCCAACTCAAGACCTGAGATACTCTTAGTATCAATCCAACTTTTGCCTGGAATCTTCTAACCCTCTATTAATCCTAATCTTTAATCTCCTCACCATCAAAAAGTCACCCGTGCACCTGGAATTTTTCACTTTCATTGCTACTCAACTCATTCATATTAAGATTCAAGTTAGTGCTAGTTTCGATCCAGCTCTTGCCAATCATCTTCTTAACCCCTCTATTTTTCATTAACCTCCTTATCTCCAAGGCATCGCTCCATCGGCCCACTGTTCTATACACATTAGCTAGAAGAACATAACTTAAGTGATTGTCAGGTTCCAGTTCCATCATCTTCTTTGCAATGCGTTCCGCGGCAGCAGCGTCTGTACATGTTGTGCAAGCACCAAGAAGCACTGCCCAAAGAGATGAATTATCTCTACAATTTGCATTCTCTATCAAAGTTTCAGCTTCTTCTAATAACCCAGCACGGCCAAGGAGATCAACCATGCAATTGTAATGCTCAATTCCAGGTTTAATCCGATATTCCAGAGTCATTAAGAAAAAATACTTTCGCCCTTCATTTACCAAACCTGTATGACTACAAGCAAAAAGAACACCAATAAAACTTATATAATCAGGATCAGTCCCCTCCTTAATCATCTCATCAAATATTCCTAGAGCTTCTCCACCTCTTCCGTTCTGAGCAAACCCACAAATCATTGAGTTCCAAGTTATCAAATTTCTAACTGACATATGTGCAAAAATTTGATATGCAAAATCAATAGAACCGCATTTTGCATAAAGATCAACTAAAGCTGATTCTACAATAACATCTCTCCAACCACCCCTTCTCACATACTGACAGTGTACCTCCTTCCCTAATCTCACAGCTGCCAAACCAGCACAAGCACGAAGAACAGTTCCAAAACTGTAGAGATCAGTCACTTCCATTTCCCTAAAAATCCTAATAACAGACTCAAAGTTTCCATTTTGACAAAATCCCCCAAGCAACGCAGACCAAGATACAGAATTTTTCACCAGCATTTTATCAAAAACACGTCGAGACTCGTCAACCAACCCACATTTTCCATACATGTCCACAAGACTACTCTCAACAACGACGTTTCCACTGAGACCCGATGTAATAATCTTAGAATGCATTTCTTTACCTTGTTTCAACCTCCCTAAATTGCCACAAGCAGTCAACACTGTCCCAAATGTATACCCATCAGACAGAAAACCGTGTTTCCTACGCATCAAATAAAAGAATCCCAATGCCTCTTCATACAAATCATTCCTTATAAAAGCCGAAATTACCGATGTCCAACAAATAATATCCGGTTCAAGCAATTCATCAAACAATTGCAATGCGTCCATTGATTCATAATTCCTTCCATACATATCAATCAAAGCACTAGAAATCACATGATTCGAATCAAACCCACGTACCATAACCGCTCCATGAAAGCATTTACCAAGCCTGAGAAAACCAAGTTCTGAACAAGCCTTTATCACAGCCGATAAAGTGAACCCATTTGGCTCAACATTAAACCCTAACATTTCCCAAAACAATTCAAGCGCATTGTTCGGTTTACCTATCTTAATATACCCTGTTATCATTGAAGTCCAAGAAATAACATCTTTAACAAACAGCCCGTCAAAAACTTTCTGGGTCTCATCAAAATCAGGTCCCAACTTAAAATACAGAGAAAGCAAGCTATTACCAACGAAGCGGTCGGTTGCAAGACCGGATTTGACGACATAAGCATGGATCTGTAGGCCATGATTGAAGGAGAGAACTTTGATGCAAGTTTGTAAGATAGAAGCGTAAAGGATTGGTTTCTTGAGAGAAGTTTTGTTGGAATCGATTGAGTTTAGGAGTTTAATCGCATCAAAAAGCGCACCGGATTTGCAGTGATGGAGGATTTGGGCTGATTTGGTTGATGGATTTTCATAGATTTTAGGAGTGGGAGAAATGAGGGAGGTGCAATGGCGTTTAAAGAAGAGCCTCATGAAAAATGGGAAAAAAAGGCAACCAATTTTTGAAAATGGTAACGGCCTTAGGGTTTTGGTGGTCAATTGCCCGCCATGTACATGTATCGTTCGGTTAAGTGTAAGACGTCTAATAATCCTGTGCGGTAAGGTGTTGGGTGTAGCTGTCATGTTTTATTTTTGTTTTCAAAATTTACAGATTTATACTCATACAGTTATTCATTCAATTGACCCGGTTTGTATTTCATTTGATTTCATCGTGTTTCGTTATAATATATGTTTTTTATTGAAATAATACTCGATAATATAACTTTATATCTCATTTTTTTAGATAGGAAATGATATAACATTAATTAATTTGTGTATTTTGAATGAAAAAAATATAAAGATAAATAATTAATTAACATTGTATTATTATTTGGGAGATAAAACTTGGGATTATAGGCTTATAGCTAACACTAGCCATAAATAATCAATATGCGCCAACCCCATTCTCTCTTTCCCTCAAAAAACCTCTCACCTCTTTTAATTGTATTTATAAATTCTTTATTTTATATAATTTATAATTTTAAATAGGATTTATTTTATAAATTTATAATGTTGTATAATTTATAATTCTTTTATGGGGTTTTTAATATCCTTTTTAAGGAAGTGATTGAGATTAATTTTAAGCCATCTCACATAGGAAAAACAAATGAAATAAACACGTTTTAATTAAATATTTTATTTATTTATGTACATTTCTTGCATGATTTTCTAAGATGTTTGTAAAATAGTAATGTATATTGAATAATACTATACATACAATATTATGTGGTAAAAGATTATTTTTTATCACATAATATTATATATAACATTGTATGTTTAGTATTATGTATATTCATATTCACATAAAAAGTTTATCATAAAATGTGAGTTAGGTCATCGACTTTCAATTAGTATGTAAAATCACCCTTCTTGTTTCGTACGATTTTTCATTCAAAATATACATAAAATTATATTCAGCTATGAACATTTATCATTTCTTTTTATGTGACGTATATATGATTAACATACATTTAGTAACTTTCCGTTTACTCAACAAACTTTAACAACGTCATTAATAATGAAAATCATAATTGGGATTTGAGAGATAAGACATGTATGTGTACATGCATTAAACCAATCAGAAAATCATGAAAAAAAAAAAAAAAAAAACCCACAAAAGTCTACTTTTGCATCCATTTCATGATAAAATATTGTATAAAATGGTTTTACGTTCGAATAATAAGAATAGTTGGTAATATTTTTCACCACAGACGATAGGACTTACCCTATTTTGAAAACTTTATTCAAGATAAAGGATTAATTGAGATATATATAAACTAACCCGAATATCCTGTAGTAAAAAAAAATTATTGCACAAAATATTAATTATTTTATATATCACTATCTACTTTGATACAAAAGTGACATAATTAATATTTATTATATCAATAATACTAACCTCACTAATCTCTCTCATTAACCCTTCTTACTAATCCCAGAGTTTGTGATTGCTTGATTAGGTAGAACCTATTATTGGACAGTAAGACCCAGTGAATTAACAAATTATGAACGGACATATGGCTTAGTGAGAGAAAATTATGAGAAGTGTTAATGAGTGTTGTTACTCTTATTATTAATATAATAATTTAGCATGTTTATTAATCATAAACGTGCTAGAAGTATAAATAAGTGCTTATTGTTGTTTATGTTTTAGTAAAAAATTATAATGAATATTAACATAATGTTAAGTATTTTAAATTTATGTATAATAACGTGATTTATATATTGTACTTCTAAATCAAATATCATACCAATTAGACTCCAAATATTGAGATATAAATTTTAGATGGTTAAAATTGTGAGATGAAAAAATCATTGTAATTTTGATATAGAACTACAAATCAATGTTATCCTATAAATGAGAAAAGTAAATAATATATATTTATTAACTTAGTGTAAAAAGATCTTTTATATTCGTTATATTGAATGATTGTTTCAAATTCTATAAATGAAATCCTTCTTATATCAACTTTAGGACGAATCTATTTAATCTTGGTTTGTACACGAGCGTGGGGCAAAGACGTGCATGGTTAGATCAAAACATAAATAAAAACGGAAAAAAGAATTTGGTATACAATCCGTGTCTTGTAGTTAATTGGTATAACACAAAATTTGTATATTACTTAAAGGGTGCGTTTGATTCAGGGAATGTTAGATTATTAGGTGTTATGCCTGAAAAAGTAGGGCTGACGCAGAACCTTGTCAGCGCAAGTGGTCAGAGCTTAGGTAAGTCCAGGTGCTGTTCAGGTGCAGCCATGTCGCGCGCTGACGCAAGAGGCGTGCTCCTGCCAGTGCAGTAGGTGCGCGTCAGGCTGGTGAAAGGCTGAAGATGATCCACGTGTCCAAATCTCTGCGCGAGTCGAGTAAATCACTTGAGCAGGTGAATAGCGGGGCGCAAGGAAGGATTTGCACAGTAATCTGACCCATTCACAAATTTAGTGATCATTACGTGATTTCATCCCACTATAAATAGAGGACTTCTCTCCCGTTTGTGGGATTAGCCAATTTCTCTCTGTAATAGCACACTTATTCTCTCTTTGTAATCGCTTGTAAGTCAGCTCGCTGAATGCAACCTGACCTCACTACATTAATACAATATCAGTGGACGTAAGAGTCGCTTGTTAAAGCATCCGAACAACTTTAAACATTGTTCCCCATCTTTTATCCATTATCGTACCCCCATTCGCGTGTGTCTTCCGAGTCAGCTCAGTATTTCACACGTGTGTTTAGTTGGTGTCAAAATCACGCATCAACAGTTTGGCGCTAGGAGGGTCTGATTTGTATTCGTCCTTCATCAGGAGAATCTCTAACTAACTGGTTCTACAACAGCAAATGGCTCTCAAATTCGAATCTGAGCGACCCGATCATGGTGAGGAAGAAGTCCCCCAGGTGCAAGAGGGCACTTCGGGACACTTCTCTCGAAATCCCCCTAGTTCCGCAAAACCTCATGAGAGATATTCCTTCTAGCTCATAGCTTGACCCAACCGTCATGATATACCTAGAGAGGTTCAACAATACTCTCCAAACGATTAACCAAAGGTTGGACGGTTTGGACGGGGCTGTACCACCCGAATCAAATGAGGCGGTGCCACCGCTTAAAACGGGTCGGATAAAGGCACGAAAAAAGGCGATAGCCCGTGCTGCGCTCATTGCAGCGCGTCAAAGGAAAGGTAAAAAAGTGGCAAACAGCGGGCCTAAAGACTCCAAAGGGCAGGCAAACACCGACCACGTCCCGGGTAGAATACCTGTGGCTTTAAGGCTCGGTGACAGGTCACATCCCGAGCTGTCCCATGCCACATAGCACAAGCACTCCCACAAAAGTGCTAGGCGGGGCGATTCTTATTACCGCCAGTATGACGATTCCGATAGTCATTGTGTGGGAGGTTCCCACACTCCGCGGGGCGGTTCGTACCACCGCGGAGGTCATGAAAGTTCCCCGCACAATTCATCGTCATCACACGACTCTAGCCAGCGTGTGTCAAGATTGGTCGAAAATGCCGGCAGAGGCGAAGAGGAATCCAACCTCTGGACTTTCCTCAACCGCAATCAAGAGGGTCGAACCTGCATGGGGGAAAGCAATCCCCAGATGGCTCTGCTGCCTCAGATTGAGGAGTTATAGCGAGCTCTAGATTAGCTAAAAGCTCAGTAAAATGAGCAAGGGCAGGTCGCAGAAGCGTCTCCCTTTTCTCCGGCTGTGTTAGCCGCCCCTCTTCCGTCCAGATTCAGAATGCCTGATATGCAGGCGTTCAATAGAAATTCTGATCCGCAGGATCATTTATACGAATTCAACGACCTGATGGAACTTCATTAAGTTTCTGATATAGCAAAAATGCCAGTGCTTGACAGTAACTCTTACATCTCATGCCAAGCGGTAGTTTAGGTCGCTCCCGGCGAGATCAATCAGCTCGTGGAATCAGATGAGCTCGACATTCTTGAGGAATTTCCCAGCGAACAGGAAGTTCTCAATGCCTTTGAGCTACCTCAACAGCATAAGGCAAGAGATGAATGAATCCCTCCAATCTTACATCGATAGGTTCCACATAGAGCTTCATAAAGTAGCTTACACTCCTAAAGAGTCCGTTCGGACTCTTATCATAGCGGGAGTTCGTCCATAGATAGATCTGTGGAAGGAGCTGTAATCAGAGGACGATGTTTCCCTCACTTGCTTTTACAACCTTACGGAGAAATACCTCTGTATTGAGAGCTCCGTGGCGGCGCTCCACCGCCACGACCCTAGCACTTCTGGCAATGCACCAGGTCAGGGGGAAAATAGGAGACTTGATCGCAGATGGACTAATGACGATCAACGAAAAGGAAAGAAACCTCAGTTCGAGCCCAAGAAGTCTTATGCTCCAGTTCCTCGTCGCGATCGCGACAAGACTCAGTATACCCCTTTGAATGCATCTGTTTCGACCATTCTTAACAAATCAGAAGAGGCCGATCTGCTTCGAGAGCCTGAGCCCATGAAAGGTCTTTCCTCATCTAGAAACAGTAAAAAATAATGTCGTTATCATAGGGACAATGGGCATCACACCGATAAGTGTCGAGCTCTAAAGCAGGCAATCGAAAATCTTATCAAGCATGGGCATTTCAAAGAGTATGTTAATGACTCTGCTTCCATAAGGGAGAAAAATCAAGAGGAACCGAGTAAGAAGCGTCATGATCGCAAGGGTGTATGTAGTGTTGGAATAATCTGTGGAGGACCGCACCTCGGAGGAAACTCGCGAGGTGCCCAAGAAAGATATGCTCGCGCAGCCCATCACGACCCCATCAGTGTGATGAACACGACGCAGCGACCACCAAAGGTTCGTAGGGAGGAGGAAATCACCTTCTCCGAAAAAGACTAAGTCTGATTCATCACGACGCAGCGACCACCAAAGGTTCGTAGGGAAGAGGAAATCACCTTCTCCGAAAAAGACTCAGTCTGATTGCATCATCCCCATGATGATGCTCTCATTATCACACCCCAAATAGGGCGCTTTGAC